GGAAGGAAGGAAGGAAGGAAGGAAGGAAGGAAGGAAGGATCCTCATAATAAGGATTTTTTTACTTATTAACATGATGTTTGTTATTTTTTCCTGTCCTTTGTAAATATCAGTTTGCATACTGTTTCTTGACTCAGAAATAAAAGACAGGCATATGATATCTGAAATATTTCTTCTAAACTTCAGTTGCCTTATAAAAACATTTCTGTGGCCCAGGCGGGGTAGTGATTTTCCACAACTTTAAAATTCCACAACGTTATGATTGCAATATAAAACCTGACCTTTCTGGCTTTGAATTTTCTACCGAGTGTTATCAAAAAGAACAATATACATATTTATTTCATACCGGCAAAATCTTCTGAGTTAAACCCAGGAAAATTTAATATGTGAAACTTGAAAGACTGGGTTTTTTTTTTCTCCCTACCATACTTATCCCAAGCAAGCATTACAATACAATTTTATTTTATTTTACTTTTGATCAGAGGCTTAGGTGTGAAATTAACCTGTCTGCTTTCCTTCTGGTTGGTCATCCTACTTATTTCTGAATCTTGTCAGGGAAAGAATTCAAAAAGAACCCGGAAGACTGGAAAGCAATAGAGCTGACATTCCTATAGTAGAAGATGTGTGTACTACTACCAGCCGTGATGGTGAATCTATGGCATGGGTGACACAGATGCCATATGGAGCCCTCTCTCCTGGCACCTGAGCCGTCGCCCCCGGTCAGCTCCACTGCGCATGCGTGTGTGACTCCCACAGCCAGCTGATTTTCGGGTCTCTGTTATGCAGTGACGTGCAGAAGTGCAGAAGGGGAAGAATTCATTTGGTCAATGGGGTAGATAAAATGCTGGTTCCAACCTCTAAAGTTCTGCATTGAAAACCCTATTAAGGAACATAGGAACTGATTAGGGACTTCATTAAGTTAAATGTTCTGGCTGCCCTGGCCAGGTAAACATGCAAACTGGATAGATAACAGGGTGGTGTGAGAAAGAGAGAGAGGGATAGAGGATAGGTAGATGGTAGATATGGATGGATGCAGTGATGTGNCCTCTTCTGTAGGTGTGGCCTGCTTTCCGGGTCCACTGGTAGAACCTCTTCTAACCGGTTCGGTAGATTTGACGAACCGGTTCTACTGAACTGGTGCGAACTAGTAGGAACCCACCTCTGCCCCCCTCCCCAGTGGTGGGATTCAACCGGTGTAACAACTAGTTCATTGAGTGCACACTTTAGGCACATGCAGTGCATTTGAAAACAGCTCCAAAATTTACCTTCTACTGCAGCCCCGTTGAATAAAACAGGTGAGGTGTGCCACATCTGTCAGTTGGGCTTCAAACGAAGGAAATATAGGGTAGACTAGCGCATGGATCGGTGGGCAGGGCCAACTGATTGCCGGAACTACTGGTTCATGCGAACCGGTCCAAACTGCCTGAATCCTACCCCTGCCCCTCCCTATCCCTCACTCCAGTGTGGCAACACTGAAGCTCCAAGGTGGCTTTGGCCAGCTCAGCTTCAGGATTGACAAAATCTATAATTCACGGTTGAATTTCCTTCCCTCATCACCCTCTCATACAGGCATGCATGTGTGCGCATGCGCAGACCCACAACAGTAAGAAAGGTCAAAGGGGAAGAATGGGAACAGCTTTTATGTTACCTCATAGATCTCTAATAACCATCAAACCATTCTAGGAATGCTGACAAAATGTATTTCTTTTTATTGAATTCCCTTTCTTTTATTATTGCAAAGTAACGATGGTGGCAGTTTTGTTTGTTCCCATTTTTAAGTCGTGCCTCCTGTATTTCTTTAGGACAATTTACAACACAGTTATCCTTCAGTGTGTTTATTTTGCAGACTATATCTGTTTGCTCATTGTAATGTGGCTTTTTGAAGTTGCACGCATAAAAGCATATATTTGCAGAAACTGCAAATAAAACCGCATATTAAAATACGTGGGAAATTTACATATGAAAATAAATGTTAATTTTGTGTACTTTTTTATTCATTGGTTACTGTGAAAATTGGATAGAGATTAATAACTGAAACAAATGAAAAATGATATTGTCTGGAAACAGACTAATGTTTCAATATACTGAAATCAATTTTAAGGCAGCCTCTATTTATTGTTCTATGTGAATTATTTACAACCTTGGGTGTATGTGCTGAAAAATCAGACTTTACGCATGATTGTATTGGAAATTTGTTTAATGCAGGATATCATTACGGATATGTCAGTTTGTTTGCTGTGATGAATAAACACACACACACACACACACACACACACACACACACANTCTCCTCCTATGCCCGAAGGAGAGGTAATCAAACTGTCAAACAGTTGATGGATGCTGTTTAGACAGCTTAACGCAGCCAAAGGTCCGGAGCTGTTGAAAAAAACAACTCCCCACAGACACCGTCCAAACCGGAAGCCGCATCTTGTTGAATTTTGTTGCAATTTTATTGCATAGGCACTAAAGTAAAATTACTTGTTAAGTCTTGTTAATAAGTCTCTAAAAAGCCTTCTTAAATAAAGAAACTGTTCAAATAGTTGAGAGAAACCCTTCTGAAATCTATGGACAGAAAAAATAGTCATTCCCCCCCCCCCTTTTTTTAAAGTTATATGGTAATAGGTACTGTTTTGGAAAAATCCTGTATAATGCACATATGGTCCATCCAGTATTTTTCAGAAATGAGTAGTTCAGGGAGTCAATCAAGCTTTGCATTTCTTTGAATTCATAACTCCAGGTACTGGAGCTTTGATATATTGTTCCCAGGCTAGAACTTATTCGTAGCCGTCCAATAATTTTATCTTTTGTTTATGGGAGTTAATGGAGAACACTGAGATAGCATTCCTTTTGAACACTATGAATGTCTTCTGTGCAAGTTCTGTTTCAGTTTGTGCTCATCTCTTCCTTCCATTGATAGGGACTTCTTGGTTTTAGTTAAAGTTGTAGAGTTAGGTTACTCTTAAGAACTTATTCTTAGAGTTAGGGTTGTTTTTAATGATGGTTTCTTTAAGTTTTCCTCTTCAACATAGTAGCAGCAATAGCCATTAGCCATATACCATTTTACAGTGTTTTACAGCCCTCTCTATGTGGCTTACAGAGCCAGTATATTGCCCCCAACAATCTGGGTCCTCATTTTACCGACTTCAGAAGGATGGAAGGCTCAGCCAACCTTGAGCAAGTCAGGATTGAACTCCTAGCTGTGAGAATGCAGAATTAGCCTGCAAGACTGCATTCTAACCACTGTGCCACCGTGGTTCATGGTGTCACGTCGATGTCAACTTTTAGTGACCACACAGATAGTTTTTCTCTATGATTTTATAGAAAACTGTATTTTAACTTGCAGTATCTTAAATGTATCCTATAGTGTTGGTATAGTCTTTTTTTTAACGATTAAAACGGTTATTACCATCCATACCATCCATCCGGCTAACCCTGGGAGAAAGTTAACTTAGGACTTGGCAGAACCTATCTTTGAATAAATGAAGATTTGAAGAGAGCACAGCCCTAATATCTGCCTGATATCTGCCTGTCCAGAATGTTTCAAGCATCCTATTGAATTTAATCAATAGAAAGTTAGAAGGTTCCTCCCCCTGCCCCATTCAGAACACAGACATCTGTGAGCTACTGGTGTATTTGGGGTGGGAAAAGCAGAAATGAAGACTGGGCCTACATTTGGTGAAAATTGAAGATACTGGGTGGAGGTGCAAATGAGAAGCAGATTCATTTGAAGATTAATTTTCAATCCTAGAGCTTTTTGGTATTTGGCTTCTAGCAGTGCATATGTGCACTCATGCTCATTATTCTTGGTACTATTTCTAAGACCTCAAGCAGTTCCTATGTTCCTTGGGTTTAGGATTGAATCAAAGATCTCCTGAAGTCTAAGAATTTGATAATATATTCTGCATGCAAAAGGTCTCAGATCCAATTTTTAATATTGCTAAGTAGGATTGGGAAAAGCCCTATGTAAAAACTAGGAGAGCAGATGACAGTCAAAGTACACAGAGCTGAATTAGATGGCCCAGTGACAAAACTATAAGGTTGCTCTAGTTGCATAAGTATTGTATTGATATAACTCTTAAAAATATATTGTGATGAGTTTGAATGAGCAAGAAAAACAGTTCTTGCTGATCTTTATCTGGAGAAATTAGTGTATTGTCCTGGAAATGTTACTGAAAATTACACTATTAGTATTCTTTGCCATGCAGTTAATGATAAAATCTAAGAAAATATGCATATTTACCCAATACATGCAATACATGCGTTTATTGGCTGGATGTCCTTCCTGACACCTATGCGGAGTTCATAGATATATAATACAACATTATTTTTGTAAAATATTGCCAGTCACTGGATTTGAATCTAGTTGCAAATTTTAAATTTACAGATATGTAGCAATTTGAAACAATTGTGATTCAAGATTCTCTATTTTTCTAATGTTTAAATGTATTTTTTCTGCAGGCATGGATGCATCCTTCTTTCATTCCTGGTTTTCTAATTTTCTTTCTTTCTTTCTTTTTTTAGGAAGTTGGCTGGATGCACTCTCTTTATAACAGGTGCAAGCCGTGGCATTGGAAAAGCAATTGCCTTGAAAGCAGCAAGGGATGGAGCAAATGTTGTTATAGCTGCTAAGACGGGAGTACCACAACGCACACTCCCAGGAACAATCTATACTGCTGCAGAAGAAAGTAAGCCTTGAGAAAGAGACATGGGTGATCTGAGTTCCACTATTTGCTATAACCTTCAAATCATTTGGGAACTTGATCCTTCAACTCAATTGACCAATTATATTGCTGCCTCAAGGGGCATTTTCACTTTTATTCTTCTGCTTAAATCAACCAAGAAAGAAAGAAAAAGAAAAAATAACATGGACCAGAAAAAAGTGATGGTGATAGAAATTCCATTGCTAAGTGACAGTAGGGTTAGGTAGGGGTATGAAAAGCTGGAGAACTAACAGGGCCTGAAGAAGAAATTCAAGAGGATATGTAAAGTCATGGGTAAAGTGATACTAGTGAGGCTAGGAGTGCCCTAGGTGGCTCCAACAGATCCCAGGGCTGCCATCAGAGCTCTCTGTCTAGAAGAGTGCAATAATATGAATAGCTAAGATGTAGATTAACAGAGTTGGAAGGGACCTTGTAGGACATCCAGTCCACCCCCCCCCCCACACACAAGCAGACCCTATACTATTTCTGACAGATGGCAATCCAGTCTCTTCTTGAAAGCTTCCAGTGATGAAGCTCCCACAACTTCTGAAGGCAAGCTCTTCCATTGGTTGATTGTTTTCACTGTCACAAAATTTCTCTTTATTTCCAGATTGAATCTCTTCTTGTTCAGTTTCCATCCATTATTCCTGATCTTCAGGTGTTTTGGAAAATAGCTTGACCCCTTCCTCTCTGTGGCAGCTCCTCAAATATTCGAACACTGCTATCGTATGTCCCCTGGTCCTTCTCTTCCCTAGACTAGCCATATCCAGTTCCTGCAACCATTCATCGTATGTTTTAGCTTCCAGTCCCCTAACCATCCTGGTTGCTCTTTTTTGTACTCTTTCTAGACTCTCAACATTTTTTATAGCATGGTATTTTATAGATACTAACACAGGATCCTCAAACTTCCAGGCTTCTGGTAGAGGACTTGAGATTGAGGAAGACACATAGCCCCATAGCGGTGAGAAGCATTTCTTCTTCTTCTAATGAAGAATGAGCAGAGATACTGAATAAAATTTAATTAAAGAACTCTTTTGCTGGGTATAAGATAACGTAGCATGCATATTTCATAAAATCCAAACAAAAGTGGAAGCCTATGTTTACCATACAGAGTCTGGAAAGAATGATATCCTAGTCAAGCAAAATGAGAAGTTGCTCCGAGCAAGAGCTTTTAACACCAGGTCACAAAACTTGTGTACCTTCTCTCTTAGGCCTGAGGGCTGTCAAGTACAAGGAATAAGGGAAACCAATGTGCTTCCACCAGTCCCCCAAATCTGAATGAAAACAGGCTAAAGGGATCAGAGAACGCAAACATAAGCCAAGCTACAAGAAACCAGAGATCACAAATATTAGGAAAAAAGATAAAGAGCTCATGCTTTACAAATAAAGGAAGCAGTTAGCAAAGATAGAAGCTTTTAAGATAAGCTAAGAAAGTAAACACAAAACAAGGTCACTGAGCAGCAACAGGACCATCTCGAGATTACATGTTGTCAGGAAGAAAGCAAACAGTGATGTTCATCAATAAGTGGATCATCGCTCAGGTTTCGCAAACCAGGAATTTCCAATTTCAGTACCGGAATTCAGCTGACCTCAGAGGAGTGTTTTGTGAGGAAACGGTCCATGTGAGTTGCCAGAGGAAAGATCAAGTACATATATCATCAGCACCCAAATCCTGCATACAAATCTTTTAGTCTAAAAAGAAAAATAAAGCATTAGTCCTATAGGCCAGGGCTATTAGGGGACTTAAACTGGGCTGGGGAAATGGCCAGCAAGGGTGCGTGCACACATGCTTGCATGAGCAGCGGGCAAGCATGTACACTCCATTTGTGTCAGCGGCAGGCGTGGGTGCACACCACTTTGTAAAAATGGAGTCCTGTGTGCTCTTGGCAGCTGTGTGTGCATGCAAAATCATTCCCTCTATCCCCCTCTCCCGCCAGTCCATAAACCCAGAAACATTGGGGAACTCTGCTGTAAACCAAATACAAAATTGGAAGGGCATTTTTCAAGAAATATTGTGTTGAGATGTATCTAGGGTGATTGAAATCTCTAAACTATTTGCAGTACACCTAGAGCAAGAAGTTTTGATGTTTAAACTCTTGCCTATGTTTTTAACTATGTAGTCCAAGAAAGTTTAAGTATTTTCATTTTAAAGCTACTTTATTGTAAAACAGAGACACTATTCTCTATTGAGATTGATTCTGAGAAACCTATAACTTCTTTCATTAGCAACAAAAATAGGTATTAATTTGACAGTTTGATAATTGTATGGCACCACTGGACTTTAACACATCAAGGCCCACAAGCAGAGCTTTGGGTTTAAAAATTCCCACTTCATCATTGAATCTGTAAATAGATAGGAGGTTACTCCCTTCTTCTGCCACCTCCCACCTTTTGTCTTGGATATATTTCATTTGTTTATTATATTTTTAATTTTCTAAAAAAATAGAGTTCTCTGGATAGATTAACAAATAATTTCAAACAGACAAACATCAGTAAACCAATCAATTTCACAAGAGAAAAGCATAATGATACATATAAATATAGATAAGTCGTAGTTTGTTGACTTGTTTCCTGTCGTATATAAAGTTAACTACTGTTTAATATTTGGAACTTGCATTAAACTGTAGTTAATCTAAAAAGGAGGAAGTAAAGGGAAAAGCACTGAAATCATGATTTATGGCAGTTGAATCTCTTAAGAATTCTGTCATCTCAGAGCTGAATTTTAAATGGTTCCAAATTTGGGGTGTAACATTAAACTCTAGAGAGCTTGATGACTTTTTTTCTTTTAAAATGCAATTAAATTAACATTTTTTACAGCAGACTTATTTTTAAAAAGTTGACTGACTATATATATATATTGATTTCTCATCAGTTGAAGCAGCTGGAGGAAAGGCTTTACCTTGTATTGTTAATGTAAGGGAAGAAGATCAAATTGCAGATGCAGTGGTCCTAGCTGTTCAGAAATTTGGAGGTAACGGCTTGCGTTCAGTCCTGAAGTATATACTAAATGTACACGTTTATTAAAAGCTATTTAAACAATAAACCCCCCACGGACAAATTGCTAGATTGAAAGATGAATTTTCAGAAATTAACGTGACTTGTTTTTAAAACTAGGAATTGATGTCCTTGTGAACAATGCAAGTGCTATTTCTTTAACGGGCACGCTGGAGACACCTACGAAAAAAGTGGATCTTATGATGAGTGCTAACACAAGGGGGACTTACCTTACGTAAGTGATCGCAGATGATGCATCTTTTGATGTATTTAGATTTATGTACCACTCCCATTTTTTTTTTAAAAGCCCCTGCATTTAAATGAGAGACATTATAGATGAAGCATGTTTCTGATTGATGAAAGTTGCTCCCTAGAGTCTGTTTCACTTTTTGGTTAGAAAGAATCTGAATTAAATAAATGGATTGAGAAACTAGGAAGGGCTAGGATGGGTGTTGGCAACCCACAGCCCCAGAGCCGTGTGTGGCTCTTTGACTCCTTTCCTGTGACTCCTTGCTGACCCAATCATGCAACCAGCACTCCACCCCGAGAAGGTGCAAGCCTCTCCGCAGAGCCACACGGCTGAAACACCCCTAATGTTTTCTTTGCACTGCCCGTGACTGGCTGCTTTTTGCGATTCCGCGTCCATCAAGGCAGCTCAGCGCCACCATGGTTCCCTTTGTGTCGGCTCAGGAAGGAGGGGAACGGGGAGCAGCAGTTGCCGCCGGATGCAGGGTGGGAAGAGCTGTGGCTCTCCTGCGCAGCGTGGCTCTCCTGCACTGGGCAAGGCAGCCGGCTACTCACCTCACTGAGCAGTGGTGGCAGCAGTAGGAGGAATCACCATCCCTGTCGCTGCTGTGATCCCAGCCCAGGAGGATATCCTGCTTGTCTGTGTGCACACGCATGCACACGAGAAAGAGATGAGAGAAAGAAAAGGGGAGAAAAAGAGAGAAAGGGAGAAAGAAATGAGAAAATGATGGAGGGAGAGAATGAGAGAGAGGAAAGAGAGAAACAAATGAGACAGAAGGGGAGAGAGAGGGAGAGAGAAATGATAGAGCTGGAGAGAGAGAATGAGAGGGAAAAGAGCAGGAAACAAATGAGAGAAGGGGAGAGAAAGAGGAAAAAGATAAAAACAAATGAGAGGGAGAGAGAGAGAAAGGAAGAAGGAGGAAAATGAGATAGAGCTGGAGGGAGAAAATGAAAGAGGGAAAAGAGGGAAACAAAAGAGAGGGAGAGAGAGTCCTTGACTTACAACAGTTCATTTAGTGACCGTTCAAAGTTACAGTGGCACTGAAAAAAGTGACATGACCATTTTTCACACTTACAACCATTGAAGTATCCCCATAGTCACCTACTCAAAATTCAGATGGTTGGCAACTGGTTCATATTTATGATGGTTGCAGTGTCCTGGAGTCCTGCAATCACCTTTTGTGACTTTCTGACTAGCAAAGTCAATAGAGAAGCCAGATTCACTTAACAACCATGTTACTAACTTAACAACCACAGTGATTCACTTACCGATGATAGCAAGAAAAGTCAAAATGGGGCAAAATTCACTTAACAACTGTCTTACTTAGTAATAGAATTGTTGGGCTCAATTGTGGTCGTAATCGAGGACTGCCTGTATCCCACAGTCACAAAATAGCCTTCTTTGACCTTCAAATCATCTTCCAACAGACAAAGTCAATGGGGAAGTTGGCTGGGAATTCGCAAGTTATGTGACATTTGACCTGTGGTGATTCACTTATTGACCAAAGTGGAACTCACACATCAGGCATGTTATGCAATGCTTCACTTAATGACCGCATTGCTTTGAGACACAATTGCCAGTCCCAATTGCAAATATTAAGTGAAGCTTTGGAATTGGAAGAAATATCTCTTCTTCCATGTGTTTTTATTCGAGCTTTAGAATCTTCAGAGTCCTTATTCCAAATTTCACTGTCTGCTGAGGGGCACCAAGTGAGTGTATATAGCTGTGATGGCTAACCGAGGGCACAGGTGGCACACAGAACCCTCTCTGCGGGCACACGAGCCATCGCCCTGGCTCAGCTCCACTGCGCATGCGTACGCACCTCCTGCCAGTGAGCTGATTTCTGCCATGCATGTGTGGGGGGCGGGGCACCTGCAGGAGACATGCCCGCATGTTTCTGCAATATGGCCTGTTAATCAACTCTCTTATTTCTGGTTAACACAGTGATGGCGAACCTATGACACGCGTGTCA